GATGGAACTGGCGGCCGATCTTGAAGTCGCGTTGCTTCACCACGGTCGTCTGTCACCAGCGGATGTCACACAGCTGATTCTCAGGTATGTAGGTCAGCCGGCGCTTAGCGCTGTTACGCTCAGGAAACCAGAAACCCACAGACAATCGACCTAAAAATATTGCGTTCGTTAGAGAGCGCGTACGGAATCATGAATTCAGTGTGGCATCTGAGAAACGCCATGCTTAGCCGGAAGCAACTTCGATGAGAATCTCTAAAGACCTCAGCAGGACGAATTCAACAGCTAACGGCTAAGGCTGGTCGAGTAAAGGAGCAACTCTTTGAGGGAGAGGTGTTCCGCGCCTTTGTCAAATGAAGCGATCGATCACGAGGTTATCTAGCTTCTGAGACAGCACTTCTACGACTATGGGAACCAGGACTTCAGCGATTCTTGGCTTCGGATCGTCCACATCTTGGAAGAAAATGGAGCAACCTTGAGAGCTGGTGACTCACGATTTCTTCTTGGAAATGTTGCAGAGCAACGGGGGCCAAAAACTGAGGTGCATTTTGCCCTGAGGCGGAGATTTGTCATTCACTACAGAAAATGAAGTAGATGAAATTGGTCCATGAGGTCACAAAGATGAGGCTTGAAAAAGACCAACCAACGAAAGGCGTCATTTTCTAATGTTCTCATTTGGATAAAAGTACGCCTGTTTTAATTGTGAGAAGGAGGGTTATTTTGTTGTACAATGCCCTCAAAGTTGGGAGCAGGACCTCAGGGAGGAGACAACGGCCATGGCTGCAATTGAGAAACGCGATTTCGTGAACATGATGGAAGAATTACAGGGGTGATGGATGCAGCTTTTGGCTCCAAACCTGCCTAACGCTGCGGATAACAAGAAAAACCTCTAGAATATTACGAATTTCGTATCTTGAGTAAGGCTCGTGAGACAACGGCCGAAATGTCGGTAGTGGTAATAATAATATTGTCCAATTGACCATATTATTATTTTTCTTGTATATCAATAAATCCTGCTTTAAGCTGTTTTTTGTTTCAAACACACTGGGGACTGAGGCAGACTGCGAAAAGTCGGCGATCAGAACCTCCTCATTGCCCTCTGCCAGCCGGGGGCGT